CTTATCGCGCTTCTAGGTTTTCTTCCTTACGTCGTGGTAATAACTAACCGAGACGAGGGGGTGTCATCTCGTTTCACTCTCGCGCCCTTCTTGATACTGTTTTCTTGATGTAATTATCACGCGTGGCTTGGTGCACAGCGCTGCAAACGAAAATCGGATCGAACCTCGGTAATGCGTTTTCGAATTTACCCACGCGATCACGAAAATGCGAAATCAATGAGAAAACGTGAATTTCTACCGCAGAAGTACGTAAGGAAGAAAACCGAGGGTTGACAGAGAAAAATTAGGAAAGGATGACAGGAAGGGGGAGGAAAAAAATAGAGAAATCTTTCACGAACTCGATCCTCTCATCGGGTGGACGCGCAGGGTTGAAACCTGTGACCCATGAAACCCCGTGGCCGCGACATGGTATTTCGTTTCATCGGGTTCACGGGAATGGTCTCTTTCATCTCACGGTAAAAGTGTTACGTTCTTGGTAGCATCGAATGACCCCTGAAGCTATCCGACGAAATTAGTTTCAGGCACACGGGCCTGCCACTGGCTCTGCCGCTCCACGCTGGTATAAAGCCCCTACGTGTACACCGGTGCGCCCGGGATTATTGACATGTCGCGCTGCGAAGAGTGTCCCTGTTCGATACGCGAGTTACGCTCCCTGACAGGGTATCTATTAACATTGAAGCTCGTACGGTGAATCCTCTCTGTCCCTCGAGAGGTCCAACCCTTGATGAAAATAAAAGGGACCACGGGCTTCGCTCGGTGGTTCAATTTTCTTATAATCAACAACCCATCATCTTTCCTAGTAACCTTTTAAATGGAATCGGAAGCTGCAAATTATTGTTACAAATTAACAGATTCTGATTGGTTTTAGAGAATTATCGATAGACTTGGGAAGTGCGCGTAATAGGATTTTCAGCGTTAATATGAACTCGTATTGGAATTATCGAGGTCCTTTGACAGGGTGGTCGTGTGATTTTCGTGATAACGATTTCTGAATGGCGCAGTCTCTTGCGGCCGAACAATTTGAGAGTCGGAAAATTATCGACGATAGGAGGGATCGATACAAAGGAATCTCATTTTCGGACGGTTGAATACCGACTTCCGGAAAGAGGAGCATTATAGGAGTACGTATGGTTTCTTGGAACGCGTAAAGGCGCATAAAGGCAACGGGGGCATAAAGGAATCCGAATCCGTCCTCGGAACGTTTCCAATTCCCTCGCCGCTTTCGATTTGAGGAATATAGAATATAGAAGAAATAAATCCCCCTTACTTTATTCTTATGGTAAGGACGGTCTCGAGATATGTAGTCGAAAAATTCTTGAGGACGGAAGTCCCGTTGAAAGCAAAACGATTCCCGCAATTTTTGGCAACCGCAATTCTAACGCACCTTTGCCACGAGATTTTCTAGAGATTATCTGATGAAAAATGTAGGCAGCCACGGCGAATAGCGAAATTGTTTAGGATTAGAGTAATAACATTTGTAACTGATTTTTGGTTAGGTAGGTAATTCAAATACGATATCTATGTATTAGAATTTAATGTAACATCGATATCGCATATCAGGCCTTTGGACGAAAACCATAATTTTCATTACTAAAATTATTTGCTGTCGGTGAATATTATCGGCTGCTGCATTCAGACATTAATTATACGTCTGTGTAATACATCTCGCGCAATTGGTTGCCGGCCAAATGGCAATCGCAGACTCAGCGAATGCAATTTGCCAATAGTTGAGTCCGTATTACCATTTTCTTCAATTCCCAATTCATGTTCCAAATGACGAACGAGTACACGGTTTGAATACAAAAATACGTTCTGCTGTAACGCGATATTAAATGTCTTATGTCCAAATCGAGAGCGTCTTGTTTTCCCATGCAATAACTCATCATTTCATCAAATATTTGATTATTAAATGTCAATATTCCGTGTATCTTCTATGTTTATCTCTTGAAGTTTACATTTTTCCTTTACCTCTTGAAGAAGCCATCGAGGATGTTGGTACCATGAAAAATGTAACTGTAGCTGAACCGTCGAGTAATAGGAACCTCGGGAATTCTGTTTCTTCTGATATTCTGCCACTGCCCTGGGGGATCAATAAAACGTACAGAATTTCAAACTAAACTTGCCACCGGCTGTTGTTAAGATTGAAATGCAGAAATCGTTAACGTCACGGTTGCACTTTAGCTGAAATTTCAATATGTTACACGTACAAGTTACAAATATTCCAGCAATCTTAAGTTGTAATACCCATTCCGCTCAACGGCACTTTCCTTAATTCCACAATTGCACCGGTCCGAAACATAGTAGTCGTGCAAAACTACTCGTCTTCACGCCACGGCCTAAGCAATTTCTTAATGAACGAACAATGCGCCCAATTAACTTGAGCCTAGCGAATTAAACGAATTACACGGTATCGTTCTGAATTAATCCTTGATTCGGATGTTCACTGTTGAATTTTGGCATCGTTGAATTTACCGACTAGCGTATAGAACATGAAGCGTTTGTGTCTGATCACAGCCTGACTTTATACTGATCTAACGTTCTACTGTATTTAGTTTAGGTACTTGATTCTTGCTTTTGAATTTGCAATATCGCCCTTCAAAACTCGTTTCGTTCCCCTGCTAGAGATTCCAAAAACGAATCGCGATGAGGAAAGCCACGCGTGCTTCCGTATAATAGCCGAGTTAAAGGAATGGACGGACCGGAAGAGCACTTGTGCGTCGTCGAATTCGTTTATCCGAAGATGAAACCGGGTCTCGAGCCTTCGGTAAACGTACTGGCGCGGCGTGGCAGCGCGCGCCGCCACTGTTTGAAATCTCGAGATTCGTGGAACTCCTCGGATGCATCGAAATGAAAGCTCACCGACCAAGAAACTTTCGTCAAGATAAAAGAAGCGGGTCTGAAGACAATACTACCTCCTAGGAACTTCGATTGAGATTCAAAGTATCCTTGAACGATCCTCCCGATTTTTGCACGTGAGGCTAAGTTAATAATCGATGAAATATTAACGCTCCGGTAATAAAAATTATATGCGTTTTAATGTAACACCAAGCAGTGTGAATAGCTCCATTAATTACGTTACTGTATAAAAAAAAGTTGACAGCCCGTTTCTTATGAAAATAATATTCCATTCTGCTTTTTAATAACCGGTAGTAAACTTTGAAATTAAAAATAAAAATTAAACAGAGTGGTTGCATGTTTTCCAATTACCGCAGAACGCATGAACGATACCACGTAGATAACGAGAAACTGCTCGTGGCTGGCAGCAAACGATACAAATTTTTCATCCGCAATTTCAATTCGATATCTCTGCTAGCCCTCGGGAAACTTCTATAACACACCGTGAACACAAAAACTACCGCGGAGAACATATTTTAGTATCTGTTCCCTTGTATTTTCTTTCAATTTGCATACGCGAAGAGGCGTGATTCAGACATGTCACCGTTCGTTTCTGCGCATGTCATTAATGATGATCAATTCGTACAATGTATGAGGATACTCGGCAAACCTAATCAATAAATAGCATTTATAAAAAAACGGACTGTGCAAAAATTAGAAATGCTGCGTGTAACGTATAAAACTTCATAAAAATCCAAATCTGAATGTGCATATGTATATTCCAATGCTTTAATGGTAAAATAAATGTTTTATTTTGCATGAATATTAATCAATGTCAATCTCGATCGTAATGGATCTACATATCTGACAAACGAAGATTGTTTGAACTCGTATAACGAATTAAATTTGCTATCGATGCCGATATGTTTCGAATTCGATCGTCCGCTTGTCAGACACGTAATAGCCTATCCAAGGTTTACCGTTTCTCTCGAACGACAAGTAAACTACATAGAAAGTGGTCTTTCATTCGCAATCTCCATTCTTCCAAGGATCAAGCCTTGTTTCCCTCATTCCTCTGACAATCCCTTCTTATGGCTCACTTCAAAAAACCCATCTCGCATGCTTCTGTGCTTTAAGAGCAGTTCCCTTTCTTTGATGCAATCCGAAACGAGTTAAGCGTGAGTTACTTGTATGAGAACAGCTCTTATCAAAGTCCTCGTAGAAATAACTTTCAGATAAAGTTAAGCATATAGGATTGAAAGTAAAAATGTTTGCATGGTCTGAAGTCTAAGTCACAGGCTGCGAGAAACGAGGTAACGGACGAATTTGGCGCAAGGGGCGAAACAGACGAGGATGCCAATAGCGCATATTTAATTAAGAGGTAGGCTGGGTAGGCAGGTCGAGGAAAAGTGGTGCGGGATGTTAAACACACCTGCGCATCGAAAGTTCGTCATGAATAATTCCGTTTGGCTCGTTTAACGCGGTCACGGTGCCCGAACGGGGGGACTTCCATCAGCTACCGTTGAACGATAATTGACTTTGCCTCTCACTGGCTCTATTTATTTGCTCGCGAAACGAACCCTGCACGAGGTCCCTGGTTCGAGGGACTAAACGCGAGCGCACGAGGGTCAGAAGCATGACAAAGACGGCGAAGAAACGGGGGTTCAGCAGTATGTGATTAGAAATCAAATTAAGCCTCGGGATGACTAATTGATCCAGAAATTAAATCTTATATTAGTTCCGTTCGATAGTGATCTTTATGAGTATAGGCGTTTAATCCTCTCCGTCATGGATAGTCAAGCGTCATTAACAGAAATTACACGTGTTTAATAAAACTGTGATACATTATTTGTTTATTTGGTTTTACTAATTAAACATTTAAATAGGGAGTCCGTACGGTCAATAATTGATTAGACAGGAGTGCAAACCTTAATAACGAAGCACTTTAAATTCGATTAATTTGATGCATGTTTAACGTGCCGAGACGACTGTAGAAGTGATATTGATTAGATATTAATTGAATATCGTAAATGTATTGAACTCACGAGTTCATCCTAACAAGACTGTTTTAATTAAAGTACACAGAATTTGCCGGGACGTATGTATCGTTTTCTCGTTTACGGGGCGTGTAGAGATGTTTTTAGATCGTGTGATGGTTATTGCAGGGTGGTCCTGACTTCCCGGTGAACCAGACACTGTCGAACATTTACGGCCGCAAATCGGCCAGTCCGGAGGCGCCAGACCACGTAGACGAAACTCAGGTTCGTACGATCGCAAATAATGTGTGCGATATAATTCCGGTTCCTATCGTTTATAACTGTTATTTAAAACGGCCGGTGTTTCTTGTTAACGAAGCCTTGCTTACTAACAATAAGAATATGAATATGCCAATGGCTGTGACACGGGGGCAGTAAATGTTGAATACTGAATTTCTTTATTATACTTAAGGGTGTTCTGGCCGTGTCAGTACCACCGCATATACAAATGGTAGTTAAATTAGAATGCGAAAACGGAGACCTCTTGATAGTAATAATTGAACACGAAGGTAAAGGGCTTCTTACCTCCCCATTCGACTTATCTGGAGAGCTACCCTTCGCTACCATCCCTAAACTTCCTCCCTAGCTTACCGACGCGCTTGGCTCGCGCCACCCTTATTTTCCGCAGGCAACCCTTATTTTCCACGCGCCACCCTTATTTTCCTCGCCACCTTTACCTAGCCTCGGTATCT